ATCGATTAAAAATGAAGCCCGTTTCTTGAAACTTGTCATTACTGGTATAGGGACCAGAAACAAAAAAAAAGTGAATTTTTGTTGTTCAGAATGAAAAGTTATGGTGTGATGAAAATTTTAAGAATGATCGGCCTACTTGGATAAAATCCTGTATTGATCAGTTTCATTTTGTGTCAACTTCATTTTCAAATTCGTTATGTGTCAACTTTGTGTCGTCAGCTTGACTTTAAAGAAACATGCATCACAAAAACAAAAGAAATATGTACGAATAACTCTATATAAAGAATGGATTTTATCAGAGTAGGCCGATATTTGCATAACGCCATAACTTTTCATTCTGAATAACTTTTCTTAGTAACACTTTGGCGCACTACGAACGGAAATGGTAGTTTACGTATACCTAAAATAGTGTTTGTTCAACTGTAAATGCCTACATGACTTTAATAAATCGAAAGTAAACTAAAAATAAATTTCACGTCAAGCAGGGCGGAATGCCAAAATATGAAATTCCAATTCGACAATTTTTAATCAATCATAAACTCAATCCAGGGGCATACTGTATATGTATACCCTCAGGGTCAGCATTAATATAAACGCTACTACGTTATTGCAATTCATTCATTTTACGGAGTCTAGCTGATGAAGACAGCCTTGTTGGCGAAACGAGTTTATGCTTTTTTTTGGTTCCTTTCTATTAGATATTTTGCTTCGCGCATTTATACATTTGCAACAATCTCAATTTGTCTATTTCCATTATACAGTAGCTAAACCTTAGAAATCATTCTGAAAAATAGTGTTTTCATGTAAAAAAATGACATTTATTGGACACTTATGAGAGCAAACAAGCACCAAATCGACATTTCCTGTCATCTAAATGGCCCATAAAGCACCCCATGTATTATACTCGCGACAATAAAGATTAATCACACAAGAGGTCAAAGTTTACAACTCAGAATCTGGTGACAACCATTACTGCACACAATTCGTAAGGTTAAATCATATAAATTTACCCTTGAAAAGTCTGTATTAATAATTAATTTTAGATGACGGAATTCCCTGAAAAGGATAATAAACTTCTTTACAACGTACATAACGTAAAAAGCTACAGAACTGGGACATCAGATTTTCACGACAAATTAGGCGCCATTAACGAAATTCATTTGCAAACGACATTTTCATTCAAAATTTTGACCTAATTATCCTTAATGGTTTCGCTTGTAGCATCGGATATTTGAAAATCTCGCCCGTGTCACAACACGAGGGCGAGGTTTCATAAAACGTACAATTTCTGAATCTAAATATTGGATGAAAACCCCTTTGAAGATTTTACGAGATGTATACGTGAATGATGATTAAGAAATCATAAAAGGGCCCTAAAGTAAAACAAGACTGTTTTTTTTTGTAAATAAATCAATGAATTTTTCTTTTTATTTGTAGGGCGTAGCTTGGTATTGCATACGGTAGCTGTTTTATCAGTTATTACCTTCATTGAAATACCTTCGATGCGTATTATATACGAGTGTCGTTTAATAAGCCTTTGCGACACAGTACGTCGGAAAGGCTCACTCTGCCCATTTTAAGCTCGTTCACCCACTTACGAACCGTTTCGTACGAAGGGTTGAAACACGACGGGAATTTTCGTTGCCGACATCTTCTCTAAATAGAAAAGGTATCGGATTCCGAATTCCAACTTTCTCAAATTCTAGTGACTGTCAAAACAAAACAATGATCCCATATGCTTGATATTCTATGAAGAAACCTTACAAAAATGTAGTTTTCACCTGCCTCAACTAAATAGGAGACTTATCAAACGATTCTTATATTTCAATGCCGTTCATTATATTTATACCTAATTTTACATGTTATATGTACTGAAAGATGCTCGTTTGTACATCCCATGATATGGAGCTACGGAGGTGTTACATAGAAATTCCATAGGGTGCCATAAATACCTATTTCCACTCTACTGACCTTCGACAAACAATTTTCTAATGTAAACGTAGAATTCTCAAAATGTTTTCATAGTACACTAGGTCGCTTTTATTTCTGCATGCATTACGCGTATACTAATTTTCGTAATAATTCAGTAGTGATTTCATGTAGCACAAATTTGCAACATCTGCATTGTACGAGAGATGGAAAGGGTTGAAGTTAACTACATTACGGTACATATAAAGTTGTTAACGTCAGTACCTATTTAACGTTATGGGTCACTACCAATTTATGACGGTAACGATTGGTTAAATGAGTCGGCACCTACAGTATTTTAGTTACATTTGAGATCTAAATGTGTTTTTTTGTTATTAGCACTAAGGAAGCTGCTTCCAGGTCTAATATGAGATAGAGGAGCTGAATATTTTAGCAGTAAAGGGAAAAATGAGTCAGTTTTTTTTCAATTTCCAAGACATGTTAAAGGACGATGGTCTCCGGAACAAAAGGTTTGTAATATTGCATCGTTCCAATTCATATCTCCAAATTAAAGTTAGGTAAAACATCCACCTAATATACGCTCCTTTGTGATCGATCTAGTATAGTGTCATCTAGGTAAATATGATGTTATACTAAAATTACTAATAGTGTTGATTTATACGACTAGCACGGTTTAGTATAATAATGGACCACAATACATTCCCCACCATAAAACTGATCTCTCCGTGAGTGTTAGTGAAGTTTTGCGGAAGGGCTGAAATCAATAAAAGCTCATTTAGTCCGTTAGCTCACCAGCATACGAGCACAAACAATTGACAAATACTTTCATTTGCTATTTTTTGTTTCTGTTTGATCTACACAGAGGCAATTGTTACAGCAAGTATACACAAATTCGCCAGAATTTTAAGATATTAATTGTTGGGAAAGCTTCAATTGCAGCAGAAATTCATGGTTTTTATGCACAACGACAAAAAGTTATAGTAAATGGTAATATTCATACCCTTTGTAATTTACGAACTAGAGTAGCTATATACTTTACGTAAGTAAAAATAAATACATCAAACCATATGAAAAGTTTTACCTACGTCTAATGGCCTAATTGAATATTATGTCTGCGCACGCTTAAGCTTAAGCTCATTTTCACTAATGAAACACTCTGTACTTCAATATGATTTTGTAGACTGGTTCTTGAAATGAATTTCGGAAATCTGACTGCTCTCTGCACGCCAAAACGAAATTTATCTCGTAAACACGAGTGTAAACATTTAAAAACTTGGAAAACCTAGTTTGAGCTGAAAACTCGCTTATCGTTTGAGAGGATTATGCTTATGCTTACTATCTTTGATTTCATAGGTAATCGCCTTTGGCCTTCCCTCGAAATAGATAGGAAACACTCTAATGACAACATTCACCTACTTCTAGGGCAAATAAAACTCTAATTAAGCGTGAAACTATACATAGTCAATTAGCATTGAATATACACTTGTTAACAGCAATTATCACTGAATGAGGAATTAATTTAACACGCTCGATTATTTTAATAATATCTACACACCACTCCTTCAATTGTTTGACGTTTAGCGTTTTTGGCATTATTGCTGTAAACGCAAACACATTTATTTGCACCCCCATATTGATTGCAAACTAGTAAATTTATGAACTGAATTGATTTATGAAATAACTATTGTTCTTGATAACCGTCAATTTATACAACTGTTTCTATATTTCGATATATACCGTTATACAACGTGTCCAAGATAAGGAAGTCTATCATGCGGATCTGGGAAATCATTGATGATACGACGATGGTCAATTAGGGAAAAGTTGCACAATTAAAGAGTTATCATACTGTAAAGAAAACCAGAAAATTCCGATACTTTTGTCTGATGTCATTTGAACAAATATTTAACATAAAAAAAAACACTAACATACTGCATTTAAATACAACGTTTCTTTGGCCATCTTTTATGGTTTCCGAGACCCAAATGATAGACATCCTTATCTTGGATACAGACAAGAACGAAATGCTATGTATTTGCTCTACAGTGGCAATCAGTCTCCATAACGAAAAAATAAGTTTATACCGTGGTCGGACCGTTAAATTGTAACTAGTTTTGTTGTAAAACAAAAAATTAATCTTATTCAATCTAAATGAACACTAAAAGAGAGTATAAAATTGTTTTCCTTTTTAAATTCGGAATTAAATATACCACCTTTGTCCAACTTTAACCAATATAAGATTCCCACGGAAGAAAGCGATTCATAAACTTAGTTTTGTAAATTTTCTCGTAATTTAACGAAGACTAATAAAATTTTAATCCCTGCGATTTGCTTTATACATCTTGAGTCGGTGAAAGGGTTTTTAAGGTTTTTAAGTTGCGTGATTTTACATATATTTTTAAAGAATTAAACAAATGTACTTACATTTACTCAATGGACATCAATTATTAGGAAGACTGGAAACTCACCTGAAATAAAAATATAAATAATTACTTAATTGCATATTTATAAACGTCTGAATAATGTTTTAATTTGCTGTTTACATTTTTTATTTTGCATAAATGTGTTTAGATTTTATACCTACTGGAAAAATAGAAAACTAAATGTAGACGATTATATTCATTTACATTTCCTGAAAAAGGAGGAAAAAGGAGGTACCCTATTGTGATAATTTATAGTTCTAGGATACATTCTTTTTTATACTTACTTCCATGCGAGCAAGACACACAAGTTTATACCATATTACGAAAATAATAGTTATTTACAAACACTTATTTGTTAACATAGATTTCTAACTTACTATTTGAAATTCGTTATTTCTCACACGAACATCTAGGAATTCAAAATTCGAAATCTATACGAAACATTCGTCTAATTTGCACAATTACTGAATTGTCAATTAACTACTATTTCTAATAATGCAAAATTAATAATATTTTAATATGACCTAAGAGAACGTTGCCATATTACTAAATTGGAAATTTTAATTACCTGCTTTGCAGTGTAGTAAGTGCTATAAATGCGTATAATGAACAGATCAACCCAGTTATAAGTTACAAAAGTTTGCTAGTAATCACAACAATGTTAAGTAACGAGTGCAGCAAATCGTAAGTATACTTGAAAAACTATTTTTTTAATCAATAATTGTACTTACTTATAGAACCGTGGCAACTGACGATGAAATTTGGCATTTACCAACTCAACCTATGGCTACTACTGACGATTCAGAGTACTTTGATTATGCATTGGAAGGTGATAAACTTTGATAGCTGATAGTATTCATTATTCAACGAACTTTTATTTTTAGCATTAATTTTTGTGGAATATCAAGAATTGAATGACAAACCGCTAAATATCATCAACGATCCTACATTACCTACAGAATGGCCTAAGCTTCCAGAAGGCGCCATTGACGTACTAATCTGGATTGAAGAAGAATTAATTTAAATTTTCTATTTAGTATTTATGTTCAATATAACATTTCAAATTCATGTACTATTTTACTAGTAGCTTTCCTATGGTTGGCACTTATTTGAAAATCAGGTTTGCCAACAAGGTAGTAGATCGTGGTTGGCACAGAAAACCTTACCTAATGTTTTTTAAAAGTGACAACCAGTTTCTCCCAAGAATATTTTTCCCCGGTATACCTTTTTTTACGATATATTTTTTAATGAAATGTGGATGAAATTAGAGGAAAGTCAACGTACTGTACAAAAATGAAGGCCACAGTCAAAATGACATTGACAAATTACTGCTATTTCTAGCCGTCTATAACCCAATGAGTTATTCATCATAAAATGATAAGTTCCGTACGGCTAAGGCCAAACACCTTATGATATCACGTTCCACATATTTAGAACATTTTAGCGGCTTAGCTTAGATCACTGTTGACACATAGGTACAAATTCAAGTGCACTTTGGCTTAGATAAATATGGAATCATATACGGTTAGTACTCATGGGGATTCCCATCCTTACAGCTACTCAATAAATTGCTAGCACGATAGGAAATTGGGGCCTGGGAAACTTTAAAAGCGAACTTATTGAAAAAGTGTCAGTCAATGAAGATGAGTAATACGTGATCTGGCTGTCTCTAAAAATAGTCTATTTTTATCTGTATTCTATTGAAGATGTCAGGAATGTGCTAATATTTACACGGGGTTGTACTATCTCTGTGACACTTTTGCGACGCGAATCTTGTCCATTTTATCCGATAGTTAACCTCAACTTCCGTTTGAAGAACATATTATTCAATGTCACGTTATTATTTCTTCCTGTTGGCATCGACTTACTCATAACGATTTGAAAATTCCTCTTCGTTTTTGTGTTAGCGGAGTTGCTTCACTGGACTGTTCTGGTTAAAGTTTCCGATTTTGAACGTGAGTCATTTAGAAATTTTGATTGCAATATTGTTGATCATAAAAGTTTAATCGTTTTTACGACTTGGCTTCATTGCTCTACTGTTTCATGGAAACTAATTTATTTTCAAAGTATCTCTAATTTGATTTGAACTTTAGACCATGTGGTTTATTAGGTTTATTTTCCTTGAAGTGAATTTTTGGATCTTGTATAGCATAGTTTTGATTAAATCTGTTCAGCTTTCCAAGGAAGATAAAGATGAAACGGGAATAACTGTGGAATACGGAATTCCCTTATATTTTGCAAACCTACTAATTTCTCAAGCAGGGTGAAGTGATTCCTAATTCTGCGCTAATCATTTCACTGCTACATAACTACCCTTGCCTACGTCCCTATAACTATGCGTCTATGTATCTCTGTCGTCCTACCCTTCTCTTGCCCTCGCCCTACCTTCTATTGCTAGCTGTACTAATCTTCCGTGTCTGAGCACGTGCCCTATCCTTCTATCTTGTCTTCTCTGTACGGTTTTCCACATTTACCTATTTTTCTGTACTACCTCCAACACTGCTGCGCAGAGCTGGGTCGAGCGTTCTAAAAAACCGCTCGGGCGACGAGATCTCTAATTTTCTCAAAAATGCTCGCGAGCATCGAGCTAACCGCTTGCGAGTTCCGACCCACTCCTAAAAGTGCTCGAGCGGTTTATTGCGAGCGCTCGGGAAAAGTGCTCGCCAGCGAAAAAAGAGCTTGCGAGCGAAAAAAACGCTAATGAGAAGAAAAAGCGCTCGGGAACGGAAAAATCGCTCGGGTCCTTATCGATTTTAACAGGTCCCGCTTTTGTTCAAATGCCTTTTTAGCCTGCGCTATCCTGGATTTTAATCTTCTTTGCTTATGTAACCTTACTACCTAAATATTTGCTATTCATGCTTTAAGATTATAGTTTAAGTTATAGGCGTCGTGAAAGGATTTGCTCAAGAGTAGATTTCTAAAAAATGAAGTGGCACGTTTAAAAAATAAATGTTAATGTAATGTAAATGGCACATTAATTGTTATAACATCCTCAATATTGTGAATGTTCATTATGCGTTATATTGATTACCTTCTAAAGTGGTAACTTGTTGGGAGTTTGTGACGCTACACTTGATGGTGGACCTCTGAACCCGAAATCAATTACATACTTTTCATATTTTAGTTCTTAAATTTACATTGTTCGAATTTCACACAGGAGAATAAGTTCAGTTCCACCATCATCATCTAAAACTACTTACAATCCTTTTCCATCCGCGCGTTAGTAAGAGAGGTATTGCATTGGGGAAAAAATAACCCCCCCCCCCCACTTTTTTACGGAAATACACGTTTTGAAGCACCAGGAATCCGAATTAAACAAAATCTTGATGATGTCGGTCTATCGGTCCGTTTGTACTCTCATTTCCGGATAAACGGCTGAACCGATTGGAACCAAATTTGGTACACATATTCTTAGACATAAAAGGGCAGAATTTGGTAAACCTTATAATTAAGTTACGAGTATGTTTAATATTTCAAACTCCAAGGAAAGTTTTAAACATTGTTGGCGCATTTTTGCAAATTTATTTTTCATATAAAGTTCTGAATAGAGTTGAGTACCTACATAAGGCTTCTAAAAGTTTCTTTAATGCTGTTTTTTTTTAATCTTTCTTGTTGGGGATGTACTTTTACAGGATTTTAAACATCTATATACAGGGTGTTTTTTTGGGAGCTTTAGTTAAAAGTTTCTGGGAAAGTAAAATAGGTAGGTTTTTGAAAATTTGTACTTAGGAGTTACTCTGAAGGCCGAATCGATGTAAAATATTTTCAAAATGGCCGCACTTCCGGAAACACCGGAAGTAGATAGTAACTTCGTTATTTTAAATGGCAACCCCTATTTTTTATTGCATTTTTGGATTCTATGTGAAATTTCAGTTCTTTTGATACCCATATGTCGATATCTGCCATTTATGGTTTTTAAGTTATTTTGACTTTAAGAAAAAAAATGGCGGATGCAGATGGTACCTTGATAATTGATTACTTGAAAACGGTTGTAGTCATGGCAACCTATTTTTATCAGTGAATAGAGAATGAATAGGGCTTTCTTTTAGTGCACTTAAAACAAAGTTAAGTTGCATACAACCGCACCTATGGAGATCCAAATTTAAGAAACTTCAAAGTCTATAAACTCAGTTTTTTTAAATGGAATGACCATGTTCTTAATATTGCATGAGATAGAGAATCGAAATTGGCATATTTTGACTATACATGTTCCTATAGCTATCTTTAACAGTTTCTGATTTATTCCCATTCCATTGAATTGATCTCGGAATTGATGCAATTTTTTTCGCATTTTCTTTTTAGTAGTTGGCCATGATTTTATAACAATCGAATTTTAAACAAATCAAGGAATGGATTCTTTAATACCACTGATTCTATAGTTCTAGTCTAAATAATTCATTAATAAATAACTCATTTATTAAGGATATAGGACGGAAAATTTTTGAAAAATCTAAACAGAGTCGTTCAACTGAATTTCTTAAACAACGTATAAGTCTGGAAATTAAGAGAGGTAATGTGATATCTGTTCTAGCAACAATTCCATACCAAAAATGTTTCAACGAAGTTTTTTATATTTTGCATTGAATTTAATATGTTAATCTTGCATTTGCAATTCAATTCATTTTCTTAAATATTCTCTTGTAGAGCTTTGTATCACTTGTGCTTCAACGGTTTGTAGTGCATTAGGGGTACAAAATTTCCAAAATTCATACAATTTCGTTCCAGTTTTTGAGTGAATGTACGGAAAGCACGCGCCGCGATTCTGCCCATTTCACCATAAATAACAATTAAATTCCAAAATAGGTGAAACCACTGCGAGTCATTTTTCGATTTTTGAAAAACTTATGTTAACCTATAACAGTGGGTGATGGATTAGTGTCACTAGATTTGTTTAAAATTCAATTGTTATAGAATCATGGCCGACTACTAAAAAGAAAATCCGAAAAAAATAGTGTCAATTCAATAAAATGGGAATAAGTCAGAAACTGTTAAAGATAGCTATAGGAACATGTATAGTCAAAATATGCCAATTTCGATTCTCTATCTCATGGAATATTAAGAACATGGTCATTCCATTTAAAAAAACTGAGTTTATAGACTTTGAAGTTTCTTAAATTTGGATCTCCATAGGTGCGGTTGTATGCAACTTAACTTTGTTTTAAGTACACTAAAAGAAAGCCCTATTCATTCTCTATGCACTGATAAAAATGGGTTGCCATGACTATAACCGTTTTCAAGTAATCAATTATCAAGGTACCATCTGCATCCGCCATTTTTTTTCTTAAAGTCAAAATAACTTAAAAACCATAAATGGCAGATATCGACATATGGGTATCAAAAGAACTGAAATTTCACATAGAATCCAAAAATGCAATAAAAAATAGGGGTTGCCATTTAAAATAACGAAGTTACTATCTACTTCCGGTGTTTCCGGAAGTGCGGCCATTTTGAAAATATTTTACATCGATTCAGCCTTCAGAGTAACTCCTAAGTACAAATTTTCAAAAACCTACCTATTTTACTTTCCCAGAAACTTTTAACTAAAGCTCCCAAAAAAACACCCTGTATAGTGCCAGAGGCCCTTCTAAGGCACTAGAACTTTTTATAATGAAGGTTTGCATTTAACCCTAAAATATTAAAACTTTACATAGGTATTTTCACGTGTTCATACGAAATGTACCTACTCGTAGTTGAGAACATTTTTTGTGGAATTTGGAAGTTCTGGCCACAGTTTCGGATCACCCTTCACAAGTTATGCCTACGATTTGCTGCAAAATGTAAATTTAGTAAACTACAATCAATTAAAGTTTTTATTTGGGATCATACGAGGTGTTTTGCATTGACCATTAAGATTTATCAAGAACTCTAGTAATGAGGTGCCTCCAGAAATTCTAGTTACCTACAAGTGCAAAAAATTAGGTGTTACCTCTGCATGCGCCACCCGTCGGTTTTTCAGTTGTATT